CTAGTCCTACGCAGCAGTCGCTCCATGGTGCGTAGGGTCACGAGGGCCCAACAAGAGACGTCCACACAAGTCGCAGCAGAGCCTTCGTCAAAACCCCCCAAACCCTACACGGCGCGATCAGGCTCGAGCACGCGGCGGGTCCAGATCTGGAGTCTGTCCCGGCCTGAGTGTAGATGCTGCGGTTGGGGAAAGGGGACTGTTGTCCATGAGAGTGGATGCTTTGGGCGTCGACTTCTGAACTAATCCGACATGGCAGCTACGCTCAGGCAGGTTTTGCATTCGGCCACAGTCACATCGATTTAATAGGACGCAGCTAGCACACCTTGCAACACACGTGCAAGCAAGGGAATCGGGATGGCGTTCCCCGCCATCATCGCAAGCTCGCGCTGAGAGACTCTGTCCGTGCGAAGAAGTTCACTGTCTAGACCCTGCAGGAGACATATTTCTCTCAGATGCATCCAGCGCTGTCTCCATGCGAGCCAATGTCCGCCTGTGGTACATCTTGCTCTTGTCAGGCATGGGGACCATCCCAGCACGGCACGAGGTGTCATGGATGCTAGATCGCAAATGTAGTGCGCACCCAGTGGATCCTTTCCCTCCTTCTCCAATCGCGTCAACAATTTGATCAGGTTCCGGCGAGTTGTCATTGTTCGTGGCAGCGGTCCTGGATAGTCCGTGCCACGTCTTGTAGGATCACCTGGTATGAAGTCCGTGATAGGCCGCATCGGCACCTGCCGGCGGGAGCATTGTGCGTTTCATGCGGGTTCTATTCGCTTCAGTATTTTGTGGGGCTCGGGATGCTCGGCTTCTGACTCCGGCCTCCCCAGGCCACTGCATGGCGGAGCCATGCGTAGCTGCGATGAAGAGGCGCGGCCTGTTCTGCGGGAGTCCTCCGTGCGTGCGTGCATTCAGTACCTGCCACGACACATGGTAATAGGGGCGCCCTCCCTTCTGGATTGCTTTCAGTGCTTCCACGATGAAGACAAGGGTCTCGGGATGATCTCTCTCTAGACCCATGACATTTTCTAGCAGGACTGAACGCGGGAGGCGAGTTCGGATGTAGTGGAGAACGTAGAGGAGGACCAACCCGTCGACGGAGTTGATGCCCTGCGAGCTGCCTTCTATGGAGTAGGGCTGGCAAGGGAACCCTGACACCAGCAGGTCTACCGGCGGGCTCTTCAGCAGGAACTCATCCGAGGTGCAGTCCATGAACCATTGTTCATGCTGAAAGTTGTCATGGCACAGCCGGGCGCAAGCATTGTTGGAGTCGCAGCCAAAAGTCAGTGTGTGGGCCCTTGCAAGACTCCGAAGTGCCCAGATCTCGGAACACCAACCCGAGCAAATGCTGCCTACCCGCAAAGTAGTGCTAGAAGGTAGATGGCGCGGCAGCGCCCAACCGATGCGCAGGAGCTCAGCCCACACCTCTTCGGCCAGGACCTCGCGCTCCCGTGGCATCGTGGACGACATGGCAGGCCACCTGCGCCCACTGCGTTGGAGGGACAAGGATTTGGATTGTGGCAATGTGTGATCTACAGAGGCTCCGCACGAGTAAAAACCTGGTTTGGCAACAGGACCTGTGGTGCAGGGTCAAGAAGTGGGATTGTGACATCTTGCGGTCCCACTGGGCAAAAGCCTGCTTTGGCAACATGACCTGTGATCACAAACGCAATGGTCGATACATGTCCGTGAATTGAAATGTGCATTCCCAGGCAGGCTCGCTAACCAGACAATCCTGCATGCATTCGTGATGTGGCACATCCTCTGCAACGGAATGTGCACCTCTGAAGCTCGCGTGCTAACAAGCATCTACTTCTGCTGCGACCACACGCACAACGCTTTGAAATCTCGGGCACCCCTTGGTATGTGGAAAACATGTCAGAAAAGAGCTGCGCAGTAGTAGCTTCCGAGGCGGTGCTCCGGAACATTCTGCCGTCGCACAAAAGATCTGAAATGAAGCTCAGCTACGTTGCAGCATACAGTGCTCGGGAACATTCTGCCGTCGCACTAAACAAGTAAGTGGTAGAGCTCTGCTACGTTGCAGGATACTATACGGTTCTCCCCGTCCCACACAAAACTTGAGCTAGAGCTGCTACGGAGCGGATGCGCCGGACAAGCTGGGGATGACTCTGACTGAACTATAATAGGAACTCCGGAGAGCTGATGCGAACAAATTAATCCGGAAATCCGCCCGTCTGTACGACATCAAGTCCTGCTCAGTCCGCGTCGCCAGTTGGCAAGCTCTCCTCCTCACCCTCGCCGCTCGGATCCGGGTTGAGGCTCGGATCCGGGTCCGCCGCGCCGTGACTCAGCTTCTGTAGCTTCCGAAGCCTGTCCAACACTTCCTTCTTAGATTTGGCACCCGCTGTGCGCTTCTTGCCCTGCTCGGACTGCTCGCCAGTCGCAGAGTGCTCCGCAGTTTGGCCTGCTCCACGCCCACGCGCACCGCGACCTCTGCCCGCACCACGGCCACGGCCTGCTTTCTTCAAAGGGATCTTCTTCGGCTTCTCCGTTCCGTCCGGCGGCGGCTCCACAAGCTCGCCTTTGCAGTCCTTCAGCCGACTGCACCTTAGTTATGAGTTACTTGCAGAATTCTTTCAAAGACCCACCCCCCCTTCCTGGCACCACGAGCCGCCTCCTCTTTTCCTAGTGTAGGGCCGAGGAAAGTCTTTGTAGCACAGACGTTGACTCCATCCACGTCGCACGCATACTTTATGACTCTATATACTCGAGCTGTATGTACAGAGTACACCCCCACATGCGACAGACTCTAGCGCCTCAAAAGCTCCGGAGTCAGTTGATGGTCTCACTTTGCGCAATCGATGACCTCAGGCTCGGCGTCGG